ACTAAGAAAATGGCTATGCTTGACGGTTCAACAAGAACAAACTCAAAAGAGTTAATCTCAAGGTGGGGATTGTTAATTGAAGGTTACATGCAACACTTGCATTTGAACTTCAAATTGAATTGGTTTTAGTTCATTGGTACAAGAATCAATTGGAGATAACCATGATTAGTTATTGTAGATGGTTTGTTTAGTTATTGTAGATGGTTTGTTTAGGTTGTACCAGTTTCTTCTATCCACAAGAAGGCAAGAGTTTGTTACGATTAGCACAAACACAAGAAGATTGGATTGAAGAAAGAAAGAGAGATATGAGAGAGTGTTCTTGATTCATCATTGTTGTTTTATTCTCTTGCATATGTTGGAGTAAAACTCTATGTTATTTGAAGAATTTTAAAAGGTAGAAGTTTTTTTGTTTTTGTTTTCCCTAATATAAATTTACAATCATTGATTCCCGTTTATCTAATTACTCGGTATTAACTAAAATCTTTTTAGATAGTTGAGCCGACTTCATATTCTGAATAAAGTTAAAGATATGTCAAACTCATCGAGACGGGAAGAAAATGGTTTGTGCTATATATAGAAAGTACAGCTAATTAAGGCATAAGGCTAGAGAAATGCTACAAGCAAAGAGATAAAAAAAACCCCTATTCTTCCACGTTTATTTAGTTATAAATTGTAAACCACTTGTATGTTTGTGACCGACTTGCCATGTGATTTTTCCTTTACAATTCACATGGGAAGTCGACAATTCCCACATGATAAAAACGTTGGCCTAATGAAATTAATAAACATGTGGCCCAATTCCATAGTCATTTTCAATTCAAAATTTTAGCTTCATTGCGTCACTAGATGTTGATATAAAATTTAAGAAAGAGGTGAGTCGTTTCCTTGTCTTCCACCTCAAGAAGTATATGAAAGTTGATGTAGTATGTAATCTGGATATAATTTAGATGCTATGTTTATTCTCATTTAGTTTCGAGATAGAATCTTGAGATGAGATTAAAGTTTAGATTGATATTCGATCCTATAGTGACTAGTGAGTATCAGTCGACATAAATGAGGAAAACTAATTTTTATTTTAAGAAACTATGTTAAGGGGCTAGTGAGTTTCTTAAATACTATATTTTAATCACTTTTATTTAGTTTCATTATTTTTGGAACTATAAAATACTGTCAACCAATGATAATGAAACACATAGCATTGAAGTCTCAAAATAATGAGAAACGTTTCTCACATTCGATACATCTCTCTTGC